CAAATTACTTGACAAGAGTTCATGTGCACAGCTATTTTACTTTAACATCTACGAATTAATTTAGACAACAATCAACGAACTACGCACACCACTCACTTAATATTAACATAACAACAATAATTTCAATTCAATACCCATGTACACAACTCGTTTAACTTGCAAAAAATCTATGATTTGCACAATACCAAAAAAAAACGAATCTACGAATACACACTCACTTAATAAATCAACATAACAAGGCAGAAGAAAAACAAACCAACGAACTTCACCGAAAGATTTTTCAACATCAACAGGGTTGCCATACAACACGCAATCGCGCCAGAAACCAGCACAGAATACAAATCGGCACATTTGGTGAAATTAAGGCGTATATCAGAGTTGTACCAAAAATGAAAATTTTTCAAAAATGTCGAAAATGAAAATTTTGTATTTATTTGCAAATAAATAAAAAGGAATGCAAATCACTGTTTTTGAAGCTATAGCAATAAAAAAAAAAATACAGCAGTAGTATAAGGCAAAAAAAATGATTCAAACATGGTTGTTATCTTAATACTTTTTTTTTTGTTTTGTTGTTGTTTTAGTCTTTTAACTATAATTACGATGTTATACATTCTACAATATTTCTCAACATCCACTATGAACAAGACTACTTTTGTGAAGTTTTTTAGACAGAATGCTGCTACTTTAAGAATCTATATGGCATTAAAGCAAGTGTCTTCACGAACCACTAATAGAAGTTATTTATGAAAGCGTTTGTATCCATCACTAAGCTCATCTTTTGGAATGTCTTAAAAAATGGTATTTTAGAGAAGCTTTCCAGTAAGAAGTTTGGCTTACAGTGCACATGGCTACAGATGGATAAAATAACCTGCAAATGTGTTTATATGTAAAATTTATTGCATTGTACAGCCTGTGTACTTTATTTAATTAAATTCTTCTTTCTTAATGTCATCAATACCATTTTTTTGCTAATGAACGTCTGACTGCACAAGATGAGAGTGAATGCACATATTTATCCTTCTTCATCCAGCATCAGTTTCAGAATTTTGGAACAAAATTCAGAAGTGAAAGGCGACTGAACCTGTATTTGAAGAGACAGAATTTCATTTCTGAAACATTCTTTTATGAAACTTACACAGAAGTTGCAATTCTCGTATTTAATGACAAAAGCAATATTATGCTCCATATATTCAGTTAGATAAACAGCGATATAGTTAGATAAACAGCGATGGTAATAACGATATTTAATTCTTTGGATTTTTTTATTAATTTGTCACCAACAAGGTTCACTTTATGTGACCAGTTGCAATGCAAAATATGCCAAGTATTTTCATTAAGTGGAAATAAGCAGCCATGTAATGCACATATTACCATTTACTTGGGAATGTTTTATGTAACACTCCTTCCACATATTAGGAACAAGTAAAAAAAATGACTGCTTTGTTTATGAATCAAAAGTTGACTGCAAACACACACATTCTTTGTTTGTCTGATGCTACTTCTTATTGTTCTTTCATTGCTTTTTTTCTCAAATTATGCACAAGTTGGTACATACTTATATCTCAAAACATCTCCAGAAGGAAAATGATCTAAACAAGGCACAAGTTTTACAAAATAGATCACAAAGCCAGTAGAATATTGGCTTTTAAACAATTCCCACCACATCCTAAACATTTCCCTCCCCATTTGAAAATTACTGACAATAGTAGCTTGCTGCAGTTCTGACGGGCTTGGATGAGTACATTTTTCTTCATTAAATGACTATCACTAGTTTTTCCTTTTATTAGGGCAATCTCTTTCTGGCCTTCTAAAGGAAAATTAAAATATTTACAGATAATGATATGTGTGTTGCAATACAGTAATAGCCTGACTATCCAGCATTCAACTAAATTTAATATTTTTGTTTTAAAAGAAATTTTCGGCAAAAAAATGTAGCAAATCTGAGATTTGCAATATCATTATAGAGCTCTTAAAGCTGATAATACATATACCATTAAACACTAATTTAGTGCTAATAATGGATAAGCATGGCATCACAACACAGTTATAAGTTTGTTTTGGTTTAATGTAAACTGGATTAATTCACAATGCTTATGTGATTTAGTTTTTGTAAAAAAAGGGCACAAGTTTCATTTATTTTTTTTTTCACATTTTGAAAAATTATTAATATTTGGGATGAAAAGATCCAGTGTACAAGTCCCCGCCGTTAGGCAAAAGATGGTGCCACCAGTTTAGTTATGTTTAAAATTGTCTCATGTAAAACATCACATCATAAGGTTGGGCATCTACCAACAACATAAATACAAAATATTAGCAATTCTGTATGAATACTTTTTGTGAGAAAATACTATTGTATTGAAAATGTTGTTAATTGAGGTGGATAAACATCATTTGCAGGGAACTTTTGATTTACTTTTTTAATGCAGCTGAGGTAAATCGATACTTACAAATATGCAGCAGAGGCACATCGACTGCTCACATAAGCATATGGTGAGGCTGCCTTAAGTGAGAGAAGTTGTCATGAGTGGTTTTAAGAAGGGACAAGTTGATGTTGAAGACAAAGAATGTAGCAGAAGGATGAAAGTATGTGAAGACATGGATTTGGAACCATTATTGGATGAAGATTTGCGCCAAATGCAAGCTGAACTTGCACTTACATTAGTAGAGACTCAAATGCAATTTCACATTGTTTAAAATCACTAGGAATGATTAAAAGCAAAGAAATTAGGCTCCAAATGAAGCCAAGAAATTTTGAATGGCAATTTCTTACATGTATGAAAGGGTTTTCTGCATTGTATAGTCACTGGTGATGACAAAAGGATCCACTATGATAACCTATAAAAGCAATAATGGGGAATACCTGGCCATGCTTCAACACTGACAGGCAAGCCGAATATTCATGGAAAAAAAAAAATAATAATCATGTTGTGCATATGGTGGGAACAGCTTGGTGTCATGCATTCTAAGTTGCTCAAACCAAATGAAACCATTACCGGAGCTCTCTACCAAACACAATTGATGAGAATGCAAGAAAAATACTCAAGGAAAATCCACGAAACACTCAAGAGAAAATGCACAAAAAATGCAAGGAAATATATCCAGCACTCAAGCAAAAATGCGCCCTCTACTACTCCAGACATGACAAAATTATTTTTCCGCATGATAATGCTTGCTAACGTTGCGTCATCGATCCTACTTAGAAATACTCAAATGGGAAGTTTTACCTCACTCGCCATATTCATCAGACATGGCTTTTTCTAAATATTAATTGAGTCGATCGATGGCGTTATGTATGCCTGCCTGAGCAGCACTTCACATCATATGAAGATACCAACAGTTGGTTCGATTTGTGGATAGCCTAAACAGATCAAGTTTTCTACCGACAGGGTATCTGCATGCTGCCAGAATATGAGAAAAAGTACTGGCTAGTGATGGGCAATACTTTGAATAAAACATAAGGTACCATTCTTTCACAATAAATGCCCAATTTTTGATAAAAAAACAGCAGAGACTTATTTTTACTCCCGAAAGGATTTTCATATTACAGGATCTGTACACAATGTACGATTTTGAAAATGAATAAACAATGAAAATGTAATGTGAAAAATTATAAGCAATTTAAGTTTTTTATATGCTATACTCGTAATTTGTATCTGTTTATTATCTAACGAAATAAAGATATATACTCATATCTGTTTGTTTAAACTTTTTGTTGGAATAATTGGCAACATCTCCACCAACTTTCATGCTCCAGGATTTCATAATCAGATCATATGTTTTACTTTCACATTTAAGGCACATGCAAAACATTGGCTTACATGTCGAAAATGCATTTTTTTTTTTTTTTTTTTTTTTTTTTTTCAGAATCTTACATAAATTTAAATGCAGGTTACTGACATTCAACATGGTAATAAATAAGATAATTGTTTTTAAAATTTAAAAGTGTAATTTTTTTCTATTCATCTGGCTTTTCTTACATGAATTCCATTTTTTTATGTATGACTATCCAGAATTTTCACTTATTTGGAGTTTGGCATTCTCCAAGTTTTCTGGATAGTCAAGCTTTTATTGTATTTAATCATATCAATTACAAACTCTCTTGTGCAAACACCTTTATTCTGATAATTATTTCTTTTCTGTGGTGGCACACACTGATACAAGTTTACAATCACATTTCTTTTGTTTTGCTTTCTAAATGATTCAAATAAAAGAAACACATGCTTGTTCAACTAGCATAAATGAACTGGTTGAGTAAAATAACTACGAGACAAATGAGTAATTAGACATACAAGAGGAAGGCAACTTTTGCAACCTGAATTGGGAATAATGAAGCATTAATATAATTAACTCATTAAGAGTTAAGTACAAGTAAGCAATATTACAAATACATAATTAAAGAAAAATTATTACAAATTTTTAACCAAATCTACTATTTTACAATGCCTGACCATAAAAGAATCAAACTTTTAAAATACACCCATATTAATCACAGTAACATTTAATCAGACTTGTCTCTTCAAAATATTCTCTTCATCTATTAATGCACCACTCTCAAAATGGCTTGAATCTCCAGAATGCCTCCTAGAAATCATTTAGTGGGATCACATGCAAATCTTGCAGCAAATTTTCTTTATTCTCTTCTATTGTTTTAAACTGTAAACTGTGGGAATGAAAAAGTCTGGAAAAGCTAAATCTGGAAAGCAAAGATGCTGCAAAATTTCAGTCACCCCTTGTCAAGCCAAAAAGTCATGGATAAGAAGTGACGAGTATGCAGGTGTATTATCATAACAAAGTATCCAGGTCTTTTTTTTTTCTTCCAACTTCTAGGCTCTTGCATCACATTGCTTCTCTTAAACGGCTCACAATGCCAAAATAAAAGTATGCTCTGATTTTCTGACTTTATTTGACAAACTCATTAACCTTTTAACTGTCATGCCTGAAATAATCTCGGGCACAGCACTGGTATTCCAAAATGTCACGCCCGAATACTACTCGGGCTATTTTTTTTTTTTTTTTTTTTTTTTTTTTTTTTTTTTGAGTTTATCGTATTGTTATACCCGAATATATATTGTGAGAAGTTTATTTTGGCTTCAGTTCAACAATGGCAGCATTTGACTGAAGGTTTCAAAGGATTGAGGTTAAAGTTCAAAGTGCGTGGCATTTTTTTGATTTTTTGACTTTGAGGCAAACATTTCGTTTTTGGAATAAAAAAAATTTACAATTTATGCACCCAAATCATCAAAATAACTTGACAGTTAAAAGGTTAATCTATTCAGGATAAGGAATTCCTAGCCAATCTGAAAAAAGCAATTCACCTTCACAATGGATAAACTCTGATGATCACCAAGACAAAAAAAGCCTCGGTGATGATGCTCTAACTGCAATGACTGCCTTCTGTTTTTCATGTTATATGGTTAAATCCACCTTTCATTACATTTGAACGATTTAACACAACATCCATCTAGCTGTAACTCATTTCACTTTTTGCTCATCAATTAAGAAAATATATCTGTGGATTTCCACTCGAAAATAGGTGACATGAGTTTTTGGTAGTGCCTAGATCTTCAGTGGTCTCCAAGCAATTAAACAAGGATTTAAATGAGTTACAGCACTTTCTCTGCATTAAAAACCCCACAGTGATGTGAATATGCACCCATTTTTTAGATCATCTTAGGTGGGTGTTATACCTGATTTGAAATACTGGTGTTATTTACAATAACAGGACTGGCTCAAACAATCCTTTCCGTAAATCTGCTGCAACATTTGAAATTTTGCAGCACATTTTTTTTTTTTTTCCAATTTTACACAAAACTTCACATAAACTCATTACTCTTTAGGATTTTCATTTTTTAAATGCAAATAAACACACAAAGTACTGGTTCATTCCACCATTCACAATTACAAAATGATGTGGCATTCTCAAGTAAATAGCAGGTGTAAGTTCAAGGGTAACGGCTAGACAGCATAGTTGCTAGCCTGGCGCACTGGTGCTCTTATTTCAGAGTTCAGTTTCCTTTTCAACAGAGACAACAGGACTTTTCAACATACTTCAGGAGACAACTTATTTTCATATAACTTAAGATAATTTTAGAATATCTAGAATTTCTCATATACCCTCACCTCAACCTAATTCAACATTTAATCTTCTAGTTTAGGTTTTAGAACAGCATTATCTTCAAGTGTATTTCTGTATAAATTCTGGAAGAAAATAACATAGGACATTTTATAATATAATCCAACAACTAAATCAGAAATTTTAAAAAAATCCAAAATTTGAAGGTTTATTTGACATTTATAGAAAGATGTCATATTCTCAAAATCCGCTAAAACTCATAAAAATAATTGCAGAAATTTATGCTATGATAAAATTACTATCTTGGTTTTTGCTTCTTAATATTCATGGTCTCCAAGTTTGAATGAAATATGTAATTCTTTTTTGGCCCCCATTTTGTATCTTAATTTTCCTACTACAATATATTTTATTTTCAAAGTCAAAACCATCAATTCCATTTTTTTATTTAAACACACAACAAGCAACACGTGCAGAGCAACCATGCATATATACAAATGACATATCAATGGATGAAGACTTCTAGAAGCTATGGCCTATGATTCAACAACAAAATTGAATCAACTCCAACTATAAGAAGAAAGAAATTCCCCTTAAGCAATTGCTCGAAAACTAAACAGCAATTATAGCATTATTATTTCTATATTTCATTTTTGATCATTTATTAATGAATGATCAATTTTTATAGTTTATTATCATCAAATTTTTTTAATTCAGAAAATTAAATGAAAAAGTTTAAGTACACTTTGATTTTGATTTCAATCTATTTTGCAGAATTCAGTCAAAATGAGTAACAGGACACATACTTTGAAAGAAGACATAGAAAAAATTAAATTTCAAATATCCAAATGAATCTGTCAAATATCAAATTATGATATAAAGGAAAAGAATATCTTCCAAGAAAGCAGACAAACTTTCAATTCAAAAGAATATGAACCAGTATCAAGATATAAAAGATAGTAACTGTTTGAGGTAAGATAGTGATTCCCAGAATAATATGCAATATGGTGTACCACGGCACCATGCCCACTCTATCAAGGATGTCCTACAGCCAACATCAGATTTCTTGACTAGCCTGTACATTACTGGGTTGTTTGTATTACAAAAACCAAACTCACTAAAAGTATAATTCAAGCCTGGCATCACAATCCTTATATTAACGAACTATCAAATACATTACTGACGTAACAGTTTATTGAGGATCCTACCAAGCTACAAAGTGGTTCAGCAAAATACAAAATATTAGTCCAGTTTGTTTTCTGGGCCAAGTATAAAAATAACAAAAACATTATAATCAAATTTAAAGGAAAGGCATGACTATATACACATGCAAATAAAACATTAAAAAAATTGATAAGAAAATTTGTTAAATGGATCACATTTGAACAAGATTATAAACTGACAGCACAAACAGTAGTTAGAATTTAGCATTGATATAAACATATCATAAATGATAAAACAATTCATCAAGGAGTAAAACAAGTATTTTTCACAAGAATTTTAACCCTTTGCACTTGAGGCCTTTTTTGCACGGTGCATCAGCAAATTGAGACCTTTCGCATCCTTTTTGACGTATTTCTTACCAGTAACTTACAATCATTACACACACAAATTAATGTATAAAATTTTTATATTTTAACATTTTATATATCTTTACATCTTTATAAGCATAATTCCTTAAATATTAATCTGTCATTTTTCTGTGTATGATATTTCATGTAACAATTCCCAGGATGCATGCCCGGCTTGTCAAGGCATGTATTACAATAATATGTCGTTTGTTGGTGCCTTTTTCCAGGTTCATTTCTCTGAGAACAGACATTGTGATAGATAAGAAAAGATAAGATTTCAAATAATGAAATCTTATAACCATTACAGTGGTATCATTTCACACTTCATAAGATTATACATAAAGAGCATAGGAACCCGCTTCGAAGAAACTAAATGTAAACAGTTATTGTCGCACATCGAGTTTCTACATCAAACTAAGTGGTGAGCGACAGTCACCTCTCAAGTTGCAGCATCAAATCACATGAAGAGTTTAATGCTTAAAGATTTAATGTTAAGATAATTTAACATTAGTTACAAGTTTTGATCATTGACATATAATCCAAAGTATTCTAAATTATGATCAGAAGCATTTGAATAAAACACATATTTATAATTGTAAAACAGATATAACATATGCACAAACAAACATAAAATACAAAATTTAGAGATACTTACATTTAATAAAACACCGATAGGATGTCTCCCACATATTGTGTTTCCATATTTTTTCAAGTATGCAGTAAAAGCAGTTGGAGACATTTCTTCAATGATATTCATTCCCTGTAAAACAAACAATACATTTAACATGTAAAATCTATTAGCAAGCAAGTTTACTGCATCTTTATTCTTTATATTTAATACCCCATATTGGATTTTAGCTATTTTACTAACAGTTTTTTGGGGGGGAGGTAAGTGTTAAATACACATTGAGTAATGTATAAGTATTTCTTTCCAGCTATGCCTTGCTTTACTTTCAATACTTTGCAATGGCAGTTAAATATATTATCATGGAAGAATATTTCATTATTGCCAACATTATTACTTTGGGTTTCCCCATTATTTTACACTTCTTTATCAATTTATAGCCCAAGATTTTTTTCTGATTATTATTCAGAGTTGTGATCACTTTCTGCAAAGTATTTTTTCTCATTTCATTGTTTTTGTTGCATTCTTACACCTTAAAAACAATCAAATTAAAAGAAGAATCTTTGTAAAGCAACTTTCTTGAAAATGCCTGAACTTCGCTTATGATAACATATCACCACTGCGAGACGTCACAAACTGCACAAAAATGCTTATTGGGCATAAGCTTATAAAACAGAAATTAAACGGGTCCAACATTTTTGCACATCTTAACAAATATTGTTTTATAAAAGATAACAGTTAGGTCAAATTTATGCTAATATGAAATTTCCAGAAAACAGTTTAATCACGATTTGAAAAACTGCATAAATGCATATAAGAGTTAATACATGGTGTTCAAATTAACCCTTTATCTGAATTTTTCAAGAAATACTGCAAAGTATGCAGTAAAATATAATGCATTAAATAGAGTGTAATCTTGGTTCATGAATGCAGTTAGTTTCTGAAGGCTGTCTGTCACCCAAAACTTTCACAAACTGCAAAGTAATTGCCTATAAAAGTCTATAAAGTCTATAAAGCCTATAAACTGTCTATAAGAATTACTGCAAAGTAGATTAATCCATTCCTGGATGCGTAATGGCAAACCCCACATTGAGTTGATCAATGTTAACGAATTCCGCTTACTGCTCATGCTCAATGGTGTACCGTTGGCATGGGAGGAAATACTAGCAACTACAGCAGAAGCAACCCTACACAAGCCTGTTAGTCACGTTCGTTTTACTGTTTACAATTCCAATACTACGGAAATTTGTGTGTGGTTATTGCATGCATTTCTGTTTCATTTCATTTTGGTTTATTTTGTTCATAAACATTACATTTAATATCAGTTACTTGACTTTAATTCAGTAATTTAAACTGGATTTATTCCTTAATGTGTTAAAGTATATACGAATGGACGTATGGTAAATACTCAATTGTTTTTATTCCTCAGAAGTATAATAAATAAGTATTCAGCTGATTCATCTTGTAATGTTTCCTGTTTTGTAATCCTTCTTGCATGAAAATTTGCATAGTTTACAATCGATATTTACATTCTAAGAAATGAAACAATTTACAACCTAACAAATTTTAAAAACCCGAACTATTTGCACTTACATAACACAATATCAACCATATATCGTATTTGTCTTCTTTTAAAATTGCACCAAATTTTATTCTGGGCATGTGCAGAAAGCAAAATTCATTTAACATTGATCAACTCAGTGTGAGGTTTGCCATTATGCTTCCTCTGGACAGACAATTGCTTATTTAAACTTCATGATAGTACTTTGTGCACAAGTTAAAAACACAAAACCAATAGAAAAAATTAATTCTAAGATGATAAATAAATAACATGATAATACAAAGCCTTTTGAACTCATTTATAATGAAGATGATATACATACATACTTACATTACAATGGTACTAAAACCAAACCAGATTTACTGCTAGTGACTTCTGACCTGAAGGCCATTTGTAAGAGAAGGATTTTTAAGATCCAGGCTTAGAACATTGCCAAGTTGTCGCGGCATTCGCCTTTGAGACTTCCCAAAATAGTAAACCAGTTCCTACAATTTTAAAAAGGCCAGGTGGAAAGACCTTTGAATCTCTTGTAGACAGGGAATTAGATCCCAGTTCTTCAGACTATGACCAAAACATCAAAAGACTATATGAATCATTTGGCATGTAAAAAAAAAAAAAAAAAAAAAAAAGTTCCAAGAAGCAGAATTACAAGATGCAAATGTTCCTGACCAACTAACTTAATGAATCTAAAGATGAAGCAAGATAGATTTAGACCTTGTGCAAAATTGAGCAGATGTTTACAGGATGTTCAGGTCAGCAGATGTTTACAGAATGATAGGTTGCAGTTTAAAAAAAAAAAAAAACTCTACTACACAGGCCCGCGCCGACAATAGGTGCAAGATCGTGCAATCAACAAAACAAGCAGTTCGTATCGCTGCCTGTCTGAACAGGAAAATTCTTGAGGTCTTGTCTTGTCTTGACATCCTCCGGGGGTTGACTCAGTAAAACCCTGGAAGCTACTGATTAGGAAGGGAACCTGGGAAGCTACTGACCTCGTATCATATATCTTGTAACATCCTGCAATATGTAACCTATGTTGTAAAATGTAACCCTGTATGTTTTAACAAATACCTCGTATCATCCTGTAATATGTGTCATATATCTCGTATCCTCCTGTAATATGTATCATATATCTCGTATCATCCTTTAATATGTAACCTAATTTGCACTTTCTGTTCTCAAGTATGTGTACGTCATCTCATATATGTCACCTTATGTATCTATTGCACCTTATGTTCTACGTATCATACATCTTGGCACCTGCCAATATTTGTATCTTCTGTACATTGTAGCATATATCCCGCATAATCCTGTATCATCCATCTTATTTCGCACCTTCTACCATGTATCTTGGCACTTGCATCACTCTGCACCTCGTATCATGTATCTTGGCATCTGCATATATCTGTATCCACAGCATCTTCTATCATATATCTCGTAACATCCTGTAACATGTAACTTATTCTGCACCTATATAGCTTGTATTCATAAGTATGTGTATGTCACTCAATGTGTGTCACCTTAGATATGTTCTTATGAATGTCACCTTATACATCTCATGCACCGCATGTTCCTACATAACATGTATTTAGGCATCTGAATATATATGTATCTTCTGCACAGTATATCTGTAGGCACAGTATTTTCTTATGTATCATGTATCTAGGCAACTGCAAATACTGGTATCTTCTGTACCTCGTATCATATATCTAGCATAATCCTGTAGCATATAGCTTATTCTGTACCTAGCATCATGTATCCAGGCATCTGCATATATTATCTCGTAACATCCTGTATCATGTAACTTATTCTGCACATTGTATCATGTATCCAGGCATCTGTATATATTATCTCGTAACATCCTGTATCATGTAACTTATTCTGCACATTGTATCATGTATCCTGGCATCTGCATAGATTAGTATTTTCTGCACCTTGTATCATATATCTCATAATGTGTACCATACTCTACACGTTATATTCCTAAGTATGTGTATGTCATGTTACGTATGCCACCTTATGTAGGTTCCTATTTATGTTACTCTACATATCTCACACACCTTTTGTTCTTATGTATCATATACTTCAGCATAGCGGTACCATCATCTGCAGATCATTGCATCTACTTATACCTGTATCAGCATATATATACATACTACTGCATATAACATATTTATATATTCATATCTGCATATATCTGAATCCGCGTATATTTTTATTAGCAAGGATTTCATAAGCAAGCTGTAAGTATCTATACACAGGCCTTACATGCACACATTACTGGATCAATAAATATTGAGGCCTGGGCAGTTGTGTTGGGGTGATTTCCCGGGGGGAGGGGGCGCTTTGGTCTGCTAGACTGCCCTCAGGGATGCATCAGGCGCTGGGTTTGCAAGGCATAGACAAAGCCTCCGAGTTGCTATCTAGATAAAGGTAGACGTGGAGCTATATCGATTAACCGTATCAGTAGACGGGCAGTGCCCATGTCCTCCGTCGCATGTCTAGGTCTTGTCTTATTTCTTGTCTTGTCTAGGTCAAGACACCCTCTGGGGGTCCACTCAGGTAAAACCTGGGAAGCTACTGATTAGGTTCTGTACCTAGGCAGTCTCGGCCACGGATGTGTAAAATCAGTCTCCACAGGACTGGAGTCATCGTTGGCGATGGCTGTTTCAGGCTCGATAGGGACCGTATGGTACTGTCTTGTCCGTTCCATTGATTGTAGTAGAGCCATATAGTCAGATATTCAGTCAGCCATATAGTCAGATATAGTCAGATGTCCGGGGTGAAACATCCCCGTTGACAGGGTTACGAATTCAGCGTGCCTTTAAACTGCTTGAGGTTTCCAGTGTGACTGGGGCCTCAAAACTGCATATTCATATACTTCCTTGGTTTTTCCCTGGGGGCTCCTAAAGCCGACATCTGTATACCATGACTTAGTGTTAGCACGCCAGATTGGTGGCACGGTCTGTCCAGTGTTTGAATGACTTTGTTCTGCTGTGCGGGTTGGGGCCCCTGTTGATGGCAGATGTTTTTACCATCCCTCCAGGAGTTGCTGAGCAGTCCTGTCAACTCAGCTTAGCTCGTCTACTGGACCTATAGGTTAGCACCTCTTCGATCGCCTTTAGGGGTTGGGGCATTTAATGGTCTTAGGACAGCCTCGAGCTTGCCAGCTCCGAGTGCCCCTTCCTCCTAGCACACTATCTTATTTGACCAAAAATTATAATCAGGGCAGGAGTTCGTCTTTGGTGTTCTCTTCTGTCTTATTTGAACATACAAATACTTGATGACGATGCGTATGTAAGAGTAGATGCATTCGACAAATTGCTTAATAGTTATTTTGTGCCTACTGTTGCAAATGTAGTAATTTGTGCAATATTTATCTTTTTTGTGATTGCTTATAGTTATTGTTTATCTACATAAAAAAGGTAAGCTATATATATTATGTTATACATATTATGTTAAACTTAAGTTAACTTTTTAATTCAGAGAAGCAAAGATTTGGGCATAATTACTCGAAAACTGTTTAGCTCTTATGTCTGAACCATTGTCGTATTCTTGGCCGCGTAAATTACTA